TTTTACACTCTGGGTCACCTTGAATAGCTTCTTCTCTCTCTGGGCTGCAGTGTCCTCCCTTGATTTCTGGTTTCATTCATTTATTCATTATTCATGCATGCATCTATGTTTATTAAGTGCCTGCCATGTTCCATGCACTATATCAAGTGCTAGGGACAAAGGGATGAATGAGATGGAGACCATCCTTGCCCTCATGAAGGGGAAAACATTACGCAGTTAAGCACATAAGTGAGATAAACACGTATCTATTTCTTTCCTTCCTCGTCAATGATTTTACTAAGCCCCCCTTTTCCCCTACTAAATCTGTAGGGTCCCCCAAGTTGACAGGGTAAGGAGTGCTGCTGCCAACCATGCTTAAACTACGTTACCCCTCACCCATACGCTTACCACTCCCTAAAACCAGGGTTCATCCTCTCATCTCCACAGTGCTTTTACTTTGTTCTCTTGAACCCACTAGTGAGCCTGAGTGCACCTTTTTTAAAAAAAGAAATAAATTTATTTATTTATTTTTATTTTTGGCTGCGTTGGGTCTTCGTTGCTGTGCATGGGCTTCTTCTAGTTGCAGTGAGCGGGGTCTACTCTTCGTTGCGGTGCGCGGGCTTCTCATTGCAGTGGCTTCTCTTGTTGTGGAGCACGGGTTCTAGGCACGTGGGCTTCAGTAGTTGTGGCACATGGGCTCAGTAGTTGTGGCTCACGGGCGCTAGAGCGCAGGCTCAGTAGTTGTGGCACACGGGCTTAGTTACTCCGTGGTGTGTGGGATCTTCCGGGACCAGGGCTCGAACCCATGTCCCCTGCATTGGCAGGCAGATTCTCAACCACTGCGCCACCAGGGAAGCCCTGAGTGCACTTTGATAAAGATATGGGGCGGAGATCATTGTCCCCTGTTCAGATGAGAAAGCTGAAAGCCAGAAACATCAAGAAACCCTATCCATGGTCACATGGAGAATTACTGGCATAACCAGTATTGAGCACTTACTGTGTGCTGGCTCTTAAAAAACTATCTTCCTAATAACAACCCAGTAAGGTAAGTATTATTATTATTCCCATTTTATAGGTGGCAAAATTGAGGCTGGAAGAAGTTATTTGACTTGCCAGTGGTGACCCAGATAGTATGTGGCAAAGCTGGGATTTGAACCAAATCTCCCTGGCTCCAAAGCCTGAGCTTTTTCCAAGAAATGGGTCTGGTCACAGAAAAGAGTCTCTGAGTGGCTGACACTGGAGTGGCTTCCACATGCCCTTCAAAACCTCCCGGTCCCAGGATCTTATTTAATTTCCTGCT